AGTAACGTTACGAAGAAGGGGAGGCGACGAACAACGAAAACAAAGCACTTTTTGTTCGAGGACCACCTGAATTGCCTTGTGCTGTTGTGACATATCGGGGGAAACAAGTGAAAACACCGTTTACAAGGTACTGTGTTGTATGTAACTTGGACTATAATGTTATGAACCAGTGTTTGCAAGCATTGTTACAGTCGCTAACGACGGCTGCATCCAGGCTAGTTAACTATCCAGCTAACTGTTGTACATTTGCCAATGCTCGCCTGTTGTACGGCTCTCGGCGTGTAGAAACGTCTCCGCTGCACCGAGCCTGTGGTGGTGGTGGTCTGCTGAAGTCAGGCATGGGCTCGGTATTAACGACACTAACGCGAGGAGCTGCTGCCAGGCCCGGATAACGTTGTGCTAAGCTAGCTAGCTGACGTTGCCCACATTACGTGACAAAACTGGGAATCATAAATGTACTTAGTTCTTCCACTGGTGGATATTTGAAATGAAGCCACAGCAGCAGCAGCTGTAAGGGCTTTGTACGCATTAGGCCTGCAGAGGCCTTCTGGTTGTCGACAGCACACTCACACTTTCACAGGCGAGCCAGCAGCAGCAGCAGCGTTAGCTCTGTTGTTTGGAGGACAGTGATTAGTGTTATAGGCCCCGGTAGCTCCCACACAAACACAAAGTTAGCAGTCCAGTAAAGAGGAAGGGTGGCAGAATCACGTCTCTTACTGCTGTCCTACACTTTAAGTTGCTTTGCATATGTTAGAAACAGAATCACTCTGTGAGCAAGTGTCCATTTTGTTAGCATTGCGCAAAGTTGGCAGGCTCCACACCATCACAAACCAGGCATGGATAACAGAGAGGGGCGGTGCTCGCTGTCAGCTCCGTGTTGGAGAGCTGACTGGGCCGCGGGCTCGCAACTTGTTTGAGTTATGGCAGTCTTTACGTGAGAGAGAAATCTTAGAAATCTGTGTGTGGTAAAGCCGGGCCCGCAGCACCTCTGACGTTTATTGGCCGACATTACTCCTGCACACGGTACCTGATTAGTAACACAGTCATTGTGGGTAAGCGGCGAACAGCTGATTTTGAACCTGCCATACGTGTTTCCTTCCTATTTGCGTCACTGATGCTGAAGCGGTCCGCTGCCTGCTGGCTACATTAACGAGCATTAGTCTGTGCCAGAGACGGATTTGGCCACCTGGCAAAGTGGAGGTGCGTCTGGATGGATAAACATGTAAGCAAGCACAGTTTAAGGCGTGGGTCACCGCTGGATCCGGACACGTTTTGGATTTCGGCTCAGTCACACATGACACATCATATATGAAGGGTGGACTGCACCTCCCACTTAGCTGCTGCTTACTTTATGTTGCTGGCCCCAGCTGCACTTTCCAAATGTGGACTCCCTGCCAAGACATAAGAGGAGTTTAGAGGATCCCGGCAGGACAACAGGTTGGTGGCACACTGTTACACCTGTGTGTACCTGTAAGTGACAAACTGTATCATCACATCATGCTGGGAACTTATCTCTAAAGTGGTGCTTAATGAAAATGTGTTTAAGATAAATGATCTTGAGACTGGGATTGCCTTTTATTGATGTGTGTTTCTGTGTTGGGCTCATGCAACAGGGAGTGTAGTCTTCCTGAATGACCTGCTCTGAGTGAAGAAGCACTGTTCGGCTGCTGTGTTGCTAATTGCTTTGGCTTTTGCCCCGTGGTGTATGTGAGGTGGTTGGCTGGCTCAGGGGTTGTGTAGATATTGGCCGTTGTTAAGTTAAATGTGAGATATGGTTGTCCGTCAGCTGCGTTGCCCGAGCCTTGGCTATGGCCTTTGTAGCATAGTTCAGTTTCATCCTGGATTAGATGTTTTTATATAGCTTGTTTATTGACCTAAATGACTTTCCCTAAATGTACAGTATGTTAAGTAATGCGATCATGTGTGAGTTGGATTTGTTAGTCACTGTTTGTGAAGTGGGTCATACCGAGGTGGGGCTATGTCATGGTGAATATGACGCGCTTAATCATTTACTGAAGAAGTTTCACAAAATTGTGCAACTGCTCAATGAATCATTTAAAGGTCAAATCTAGATCCTAAAAATATATCAGCCTCTGCTCCTCGCCTGGTATGGAACTTTATCAGCATTAAATAGCAGCAGTGGGTTTTTCATTCGTGCTTAACTCGCAGTTTGAACATAGGGCTGTTTGTTTTAAAGCAGGAGCTAACAGTGCACCTGTCTTCAAACCAACGTTGTTCCAGATGATGACACCAGAGACACATTTGCACTAGGTCTGAAAGATGGACGCAAGTTGTGTAAACTAGACTCGGCCCACCAACAGTACCTTGTTTGGGGATAAGCTCCAACTGCACCACCTATCTGTCTTCTGGTCTGCTGCTGTCTTTGGTTGAGACCGTGTTATAGACAGATGGATGATTTTTAACCACACAGACACAGCAACCTAAATACTGTCCCATATTTTTTTAAACATTGAACTCCAGCCATACGTGTATACAGTGTTTCAAAGAAGGTCTGTGATGAAGCTCGACACTGTATATGTGCAGTGTTGTGTCTGCGTTTATCACTGTGAAGATCTGTCGTCTTTGTCCAGACTTGCTTGGTATCATTGTTATGTTGGCATCAGTATGACTTCTGGCTAATTTGCAAGTCACTGGCTGTATATTTCTTATCACCTTCTTTACCCTCTACACTGTTTTATATTACATGTATGTGTTACATAGACATTTGTAATGTTGTCTATTGTTTGTCTTCTGTTGGTTAACATCAGTTTAGGTGCGTCTCTGTCCCATTGAGGCTTTTTACATTCTCTTGGTTCTCCTCCCAGCAGTCCCTCTGACTTTACAGGCTCTGATCCAGTTTTACATTTCATTCCTCAGGTGGACAGTCCGCTCCCTGGTTGCTCGTGGTAACTCTCCGCCATGCCTTTCCCCTTTGGCAAGTCCCACAAGTCGCCGGCGGACATCGTCAAGAACCTTAAGGACAGCATGACAGTGCTTGAGAAGCATGACATTTCTGACAAAAAGGCTGAGAAGGTAGGTTAATGTAGTTCAAATTGATTTGTGATGCACATCCTCATCACCTTTGAAATGTCAATGGGAGCCATAAAAGCAATTTTGTTGAGATTACATTGTGACTAGGCAGTTTTTTGAGGGGTGGTTGGGAGAGTAATTTTCACATAGCTTTTCGGAAGCTTGAATTAGGATTATATATGTATTGTGGTAGATTTATTGATGTGCATATGATTCAGGCCACAGAGGAAGTGTCAAAAAGCCTGGTGGCCATGAAGGAGATCCTGTATGGGACAAATGAGAAAGAGCCCCAAACAGAAGCCGTGGCCCAGCTAGCCCAGGAGCTCTACAACAGTGGCTTGCTCAGCACCTTGATAGCGGACCTGCAGCTCATCGACTTTGAGGTGAGACTCTGTCTTTGTTTCGTTGGAGTGAGGCAAAATAATATTTATTGAATGAGATCGAAAGAAGGAAGAACAAACATTTGACACTAAATAGACAAAGTGTATCTCAGGTGTGTACACACAGGAAGAACGTGTGTTATGAATATGAAGGAAAGGGATGCATATGTCTTGAAAAAGTACATTCAGGTAGTGACGACAGTTGGGTATTTGAGACAAACCTGGCTATACTGATATGTGGGCAAACTCATGTCCCCCTGCAATATGTCAGACTGGTGCTGTGTGGCAACTGCTGCGGCAGGCTTCCCTGACTCACCCTATCACAGTATGACTCATTGTGCTGTGTGATCTCTCTCTTCCTCTTTTACCCGCTCTCATCCTCACTACACGTTAAAAAAAGGTGGTGAAGAATTGCACATCACAAGTGTCCAATGTATAAATATGACAGCAATTCAACATTTTGGAAAGCATTGCAAATATTTGGTCTGTGCTGAATTCCTGTCAATATAAGGTTGTTGTTGTTTTTTTTTGGTAACGTGTCACAAAAACAACAAACCTTGAATTTAGAGCTGCATCTTTGGCTTTCCACCCGATCTAGCTTGGATTGTCGGTTTGGGAGTGTGTTGTAAAATAGAGTTGACCAAATACAGGACCGGTATTACCAATTTTGACACTGCTTGACTCAGCACCTTGTCTGCCCAGCTGTGATGCGAATTCTGCTAATGCTCTTCTTAATTTGCCAGAACAGATCGTAATGACAAATGCCAGTTCAGTCGGTTCGCACAAATCAATCTGGTTTACGCTCATACACTGGACCTGCAAAACTGGAAACTGACCCAACCCTATTATATTATTATATTATTGTATGGTACTACATGCATTGACTTCTGCTTTATCAAACCTTTACGTATGTGCATTTGTTACCAGGGTAAGAAAGATGTGGCTCAGATCTTCAACAACATCCTGAGGCGTCAGATTGGCACTCGGACACCCACAGTGGAGTACCTCTGCACCCAGCAGAATATCCTCTTCATGTTGCTTAAAGGGTAAGGCAGCACACACACACACACACACACACACACCATTGTTCATAAAGAATTTAATTTATTTATTAATCATTTCGAAACACAGCATGTTGACATGTTAATGAAAAGACTGAAAAGTAACTTCCTCTGTAACTTCCTAACATAAGGGGAAGTAAAAACATCTCTTTTCAAATGGTCTGATGCCTAAAGAAGAAGAATGAAAATAGGCTCAAATATATATGCCAATAAAACAATTGAACTTTGTTGAAAGCTGTCTAGCTAAGTTCCAAATACCGGCGACAATCTTCATTAGTGGTTCCTGTGCTCCAGAAGTCTTCTACCTCATTTAAGTAAGAGTGAATGACTTGACTTCTATCATGCCCAGTGAGCAATGCTTTACCACTTGTATCATTATACTTAAAGACAATATAGACAATATATCTATTTAATAGTTTAAAGGATTTTGTACTTTTTAAAGATATATATTTGAATCTTTAGCTCTGTTTTCAAAACCTCTAATCCATTTTAATAGAAAATACTATTAATTAATTAATAATAACTTTTTTTTTGTGTAAGTTTCAAATAAAGCAGTGTTCGGAGAGAACCTGAGTATAGTGTGCTTCTACATCAGTAACACCATTTAGGGTTGGGTGATATACCGGCTATTGGCTGAGACAAAGAATGAGAGCTGCTCAGTTACAGATGTTCAGCGGCGCAGTACTGAACCGGCGTATTTTCACATTCAACTGCGGTGAATTAAGGGTTTATTTATCGACTAGTTTGACAACAGGGTGATTCGCAGAGAGCTCCAAACAAGACTCTTAACTTCGGGGGAGATGAGGACGCAGCAGGGACAGCCTTGGTGAGGAGAAGCATGAAGCGGGTAGAGAAAGGAGGGAGGTTGGGGAACAGAGAGGTTGCGACAGCGCCAGAATATTTTCACATCTAACTCTGTTAAATGGTTAGACACCACAGTTGGTGAATGTTGGAACAGTGTAAAGACTAATACATGTGGTTTGGTAAGTTTTATTTTGTTTCTGTCATGGAGATGCTACATGTTAGCATGTAGAGACATGACACTGGTACACTGGACTAAATAATAATCAGTATGTATGTAGTCCTGGTTGTTGGCACCAGCCAAGCGCCAAATATCAGTAAAACTGGTCCTACTACAAAACGTAACTTTATTTAAAAGTTTTAACTAACGTTAATTGAAAATAAAATCGTTATTTACATGAAGTAGCTTTATATCTCACAACAGCACTATTCTCAACGATTAGGGGGCAGCCCTAGTGTAGTGTTTAGTTTTATTAATGACCTAATTACAGAAATACTGTATGTAATGATTATGGCCTTTTGTTTCAGTTTGTCTTCCTATGGCCAGGGTGTGTGGAATGCCTCTGTATGATGCTATGTCCTTGTCCTGTGTTGCTGTTTTGTGCAGGTATGAGTCTCCAGAGATTGCCCTAAACTGCGGTATCATGCTGAGGGAGTGCATCAGACATGAACCACTGGCCAAAATCACACTGTGGTCCGAGCAGTTTTATGACTTCTTCAGATATGTGGAGATGTCCACGTTCGACATTGCCTCAGACGCATTTGCCACTTTCAAAGTAAGTTGGCTCACTTCAGCTGTTGGAGCTGAGCAAATTCTCTTTTGAGTAATGCTAAGAAACATCTGTTACTCCTTAGCAAAAGAATTCATGGCGATCATTATACAAGTAACTCATTGACAAACTGTAAGTGACTTGCAGAGATTATCTTTACAGTTTCATGACATCTCTCTCCTCATTGCCTAGTCATTGCTACTTTGTTGATGGTGGTTTGTTTACATTACATAATCTGAAACATTGTAACTAGCTGTACTAGCTGACAGCTCAAACAGCCAGTTTGATGGTGTGTTGGCACCTGCTGCTGCTGGTATTGCAATATTATATTATTGCAACAAAGACACATTGACATGAATGGATTTGGAGCCAACCGTGGCTGTAATGACGAGTATGCACAAGTATGCAAAGTTATGTCATGATTGAGAGACCTGAATGCACCGCTAAAAATATTTTACTTAAATTAGTTTCTGATTAAATATAAGATTAATAATACATTGATAAAATAAAAACACAAAGATGAATTGTTTATATTCAGCCATACATTATCATTTAAAACACTACTGGTAGTTTGCTGATTGTTCAGTCTTCTGTTAGAGGGGCTCAGATTTAAAGCGGCATTTCAAAGGCTAACTTGAACACCACTGTTGAATGAATGCGAGTGGTAATGTTTTGGTCATTAAAGGTAAGATTTTGTTTTTAAATTACAAAGCAGTTTCTTTTTTGAGCAAAAAAGGATTAATTTGCAAACGTAATTCCAAAAAGATAAACCAGTCTCCTTATAACGTTGAAAAGGATTATGTCCAGAAATATCACTAATCACACCGTTACACAAAACATTTTTTTTTCTTTTTATAAAATTGCAGTGTATTTCTCAGGATTATTTCTGCATGTGCTTCAGTTTGTTGTACCTACAGTGTCCAAAAGGGACACAAATGGGACCAGGCTAACTCATAGCCATTAAGTCTGAATTTATTTCTCATAGTCTGCATTGTCTATTTCCAGGACCTCCTCACAAGACACAAGCTACTGAGTGCAGAGTTTCTGGAGCAACATTATGACAGAGTAAGTCCCCACTGAACTGAAACTGAGTTTTATAGGCAGTGATTTCACCCATATTGAGGTAGAGTCTGGTCATGGCATAAAGGGGGGAAGAATGTATCCTTACAACTACACTTAATATTATATTCATCAGTACGGAGCTCATCAGAACAAATAAATGAATGAAAACAAAGAATCATCATTTATTACTCAGTAGGTGTACTAGTCGTTATAAGCGTTCAGGGCATTCAGCAATGCTATGTCTAGAAACATAAGATGACCTTAAGCATTTCCTTTTCACCAGTTACATATAAATGAACACTGGCAGTCTGGCTGTTTGGCATGCTGGCAGTGTCTTTTTCTAACAACATCAAACCAGCGATTTGGTACATTATTTACAGTCTGTGAAGACAAAGTAGCTGTCAGTCTGTGAGGGTAAATCTGTCATTTTCTTGTCATTGTGTTTTGATACAAGACACAGATGCAATTGTAAAAAAACACTACTTGACACATTGAGATGACTCTCTCTCTTTTTTTTTCTCTCACTACTTCTGTCTCTCGTTCTAGTTCTTTAGTGAATATGAGAAGTTACTCCACTCAGAAAACTACGTGACTAAAAGGCAGTCCCTCAAGGTAAGGACCCTGGGTCGTGCCAGTAAACAGGTCTCATGTAGTGGTGCAACTCTATTCAGAGAGCTATTTAAAGATTTGGTCTGGTCAGAGTGTTGGGTTTCTCTAAACCATTCCACCTCCATCACCTCGTCGTGACTGCCATCTAGTGGTGGAAGCATTGTCTATACGTTGCCTATATATGAAGCAACAATCTGTCTAGCAATTATTACACAAGATTGAAACCTGCTATATCTCTCAAGGTTGTTTATTAAGGTTATTATTCTTTTCTGATCCTGTTTAAGATTTAACACTAGTAACTTTTGTAAATAATAAAGTTAAACGGGCCTATATTTCTGGCTATAATACATATTTTTACACTAATTATGCTTTAAGAAGTCAGCCTTTCAATTTCAATAGAACTGTCTGTAAATTGTAAAATAAAGTAGTCACATTAATATTTACCTCTGTTTCTCACTCTAAAAATGATCTAGTTGCTGGGGGAGTTGCTTCTTGACCGGCACAATTTCACCATAATGACAAAATACATCAGCAAGCCAGAGAATCTCAAACTAATGATGAACCTGCTACGGGACAAGAGCCGCAACATTCAGTTTGAGGCTTTCCATGTTTTTAAGGTAAAAGTTGCAAGATGTGGTTAGCATTAAACATAGCGCACAATATCTGCACATGTTAACATCACTGTCCTCCTTTTTTACCATCAGGTGTTTGTGGCCAACCCCAACAAGACGCAGCCCATCCTGGACATCCTGCTGAAGAACCAGACCAAACTCATTGAGTTTCTCAGCAAGTTTCAGAACGACAGAACAGAGGACGAACAGTTCAATGATGAAAAGACTTACCTGGTCAAACAGATCAGGGACCTCAAGAGGCCTGCCCCCCAGGAGGCCTGAGGAAGGGTGCAGAGGTGGGGGGAGGAGCCACCAGGACCATGTCTGGACCCCATCCAGACACCGTCTGCTTAACGGACCCATCAGCAGCTGCTGTTCTGGTTTCTGAACAAAAATTGAGGAAACAACTGAAAAAGCAACGTACCCAATATCAACTCATCAGGAAGTCGCCAGCTCCTCTGCTCCTCAGTGAACATTTGATTCTTTTTGTTTTTCTTTTTCAGTCTTTTTCCTTAAAAAGAAATAAGAGAAAATAATAGATGCTGCTGCTTTCTTGCACATTGAGACATGTAAGGTATATTATAACGACACAACAGTCCATCAAACATAGAGACAGAAAATGTCCGTGCATTCAAAGTAAGGCAGACTTCCTGATACACACACACCAAGAAACAAAAGTAGACACGTTTACACGCATATATGTATTACATTAAAAACCTGCATACACACATACAGCAAGAATATCAGCTAAAACCTTGTGATGGAAATGGTACGAGCAAGTTGAACATTGGTGTGTTTGTTGCATGCCTTGAAAAGTGAGAGATCCATGGCTGTACCCAGCATCGGCTCTGTGATGGCCTGCCCAGTCTGGCTCCCATGTTCAGTGCCACAGACTCGGATATGCATGTGCATCACAGCAACCGCTACAGTTCATATCTATGCCTTCATCCAATAAAGCAACAGTGGTTCCATTTTAGCGATTCGTAGGGACAAGCTCTCAGATGCCATCACACAGAACCATTTACCTCCTGTGTGCTTTGTTACGACACAGCACTTGAAGCACACAAGGAAAGGAGGGAGGGATGTAAGGTATGAATTTAGTGAAGCCCAAGAGTCGGGTCTCTTTATTGTTTTCTGGGACAGGGTGAACATGTACATATGCCTTTTTTTGCTTTGTAGATTTTTGTTTAACCTTGACATATGAATATATATTATATATATATATATTACCTTAAACATCGCGTTTTTGGTTAATTGTAATCAAATTACTTTCTAAACTATAAAAGAAACAACAAACAAGTTAAGTGACATTGTTTTTGCATTTTATTTTACTGCTGAAATGGTTGCTGGTGGGTTTCTTTGTACATAACTTAAAGGGCCAGCTCACGTTTAGCTAACCTATAGGATATTAACAATTTGTACAGCAGAGGAATGTCATGGTATTAGCTCTGGATCTGTTAATCCTCTTTTTATTCTCCATCTACATTTTGAGTATCTCTCAGACTGCTGAAAACGTGCAGTGGAGGACGGGAGGAAGGGGATTTGGAGAGCATTAACTGAAACATTAAAGCCTGTGTGTTTGTGCACTTTGTGAGGTGCTGAGTGATCAACATCACCTAACTGGAGTCGAGGATAGCAGGGATTTTCCCCCTCCTCAATTTCATTAACTTTTTCCCCCTCATTCTCACCACTCTTCTTGTGGCAAGTGGTTGCTGTGTGGCCTCATAGTGAGTGTGCTCATCAGGACATCAGCACTTCATTCTTGCTTTTCTCACCTTCCCCTCATTCTTGAGCCTTTCTTTTCAGAGGGTTTATAATTCCAGTACAATTATGAGTGTAAAGCATTGTGGGTAGCAGAGTACTTTGGGAATGTGGGATTGTCCTCATGGTGCTGAGTAAAACTGATGAAACCACAGACTTGTTCATTTAAAGTGATTGAGACGTGCATATACATTCAAACAGGCAAATAAGAAACCATCTCAGTGCAGACAACAGCACTGCTCAGATAGTCCACAGTTCCTTCATACGCATTGGACATGCATGTTCCTCCACTGGCTGTGCATGATGCTGTACTAAAGATGTTGTACTGGAATTGTTTCTTTTTAAAGTATTTAACAACATTGAAATGTCAAATTGAACTCTTGGCTTTACGGCTGTATGCTGACTTTGACTCCAGTTTCAGCATAGAGCGTGTGGGTGCTTTCAGAAGTGTCAAAGGCCCGGGCCCTACAATTGAAATAAAGAAAAAAAAAAAAAACATTTGGAATAAAATAAAGCTGTGTCATTCTTAACACGTGCCGGTGTGTCTTAACATTGGAGTGTGAAGTAGCTTTGTATATTGAAGTGGTTTTCAGATTTATTTTGTGATGTAAAAGTAGCCCATTTTACATAAAAGTCTTTCTCTCAAATATGTACGTAAGTCAGAAAACGTATTATCAGCCAAAGTACTTTCTTATTAAAAATAAAAGCAATCATGCAGATAGGTTCTTAACCAAATAGATTTTTTCACATTTTTGTCACCCAAAATTTGCCCTATTAATTTGGTGTCACCTGATGTATTGACATTTTTCTTCTTTCGTTCAGTAATGGATATTTTAAAATAGATAAAACTATTATTCAGACACCAAATGTATTATTTACATTTGAAATATTTTTTGTCCACCAAAGAATAATTAAATCATTTAAAACCTTCATTCAGCCAATGTCCCCACAGTGCTGTCGACAGGGGAGAATACTTTTGTAGACATTTTTCCAAAAATATCCCTCGATTTTCAAACATTTGTTTTTTACCCCTTGACTTTAAATTTATTTTTTCAGTCCAGGAAAGTGTAAGTGACCCTAGATCACTTGACAGTGTGCAATTGGGCTCTAAATATTTTGGGGAGTTTTGGTTTATTCTATAACGGAGCACCCCATTTTAGAAGCTCCTTATCAGTGTGGTTGACATGAAAAACATTAATCTGAAAAGCAACCTGTAACTGGCTGTGAGATAAATGTATTGAAGAAAAGAGTACAATGTTCCCCTCTGAACTGTAGTGGAGTAGTTGAAGTTTTCAGTAACATAATGTAAATAATACACTAAATATAAAAACATAGCCTATTAAGTGACCACTTCAGTTTCTTCTATGCAGTTTGTTGTATGGAAGCCCATATTTGCCACATGACATAAAGTACCTTCAAAGATTTAATAAATTTAATAATGCCACATTAAATTTCTCATAATTATAAAACATATATATAAACATATTGTCTTATATAATTGTGGGTTAGTATCTCATAATTTTAAGCTACTATTTAATAATGATGAATTGTGAAATATTGCAATGGTCTAAAAATCTAAAACCACAACAGAAAATAAATGTGGCATCAATTGTATTTTGTTATACACATGATGTAGGGCGGGTGGTATAGTAAATATTTTAAAGGACCAGTGTGTAGGATTTAATGGCATCTAGCAACTAACTGAAGACTGCTAACATCTGTATTTGACGACTTGGGAATGGGATCGGGCTGTGAAGCGTCTAGGAGGAACTATGGTGGCACAAAAATGCCCTATGAAGAGCCAGTGTTTGGTTTGTCTGTTTTGGGCTCCAGTAGAAACATGGCAGCCTCCACAGAAGGTGACCCGTGGCATCTGTAGATATAAACGTTCATTCTAAGGTAACAAAAACACAACGATCCAAAATTTGAATGGCGATTATACGCTAACGAAAACATCCCTATGAATATTCCATTTCTTCCAATAGATCCTCTAAATGTTACACACTGGACCTTTAAATGGATCGTTTCAATGTGAAATATTAATCAGATTTATGTGGGAAGTACAATTTATAGAGCTTGATTCTTGTATAGTGACCTCTGCTGGCCATTAGCCATATAGGATCCGTGCAAACTCTTCACAAAACCATGCTCAGATTATTACAGATTACAGAGTTTATAAACCGTGTGCAGATCTGTAAAGGAGAGTAAAGATGTACACATTGTTGTTTTGTTTATTTATTTATTGAGTCATTCGATGCCAGGGGGCTGTGGACCAAAACAATGAGAGCTTTCACATTGTCACAATGCCATTTAATACAGTGTATTGTAAAAACACCATTACAGACACTTTAAGACCAGATTTCTATCACACTGTATTGCTTTCTTAGGCCAGAACCACTGCTTATTGATGGAAGAACTGGGTGCCTGCAGAATTCAAAGCTTAATGTCATACTAGTTTAATGACAGCTGATATATAGCGCACTCCCATAAACGGCTGCGGACTGGTCCTTTAAGGGCAGATTAAAAAAAAAACCCAAACAGCACACTTCCGGTGGATAAAGACAAAAACAGAGAAACAGCCCAGCGGTGAGAAGAGGACGGCCCGACGACGAGGGGAGGGCAGTGTTGTTTCATAGAGGTGGTCAGCTATTGTGAACACAGAGTTAGAGCGAAGGCACCTGCAGCAGACAGACAGACAGACAAACACTGAGCCATGGTGAAGATCAGTTTCCAGTCTGTCGCGGGACAGAAAGTGGAGAAGGAGAATGATGGCGACAAGACCGAAATTCTCATTCCTCATCCGATGGTGAGTAAACGCGTCGCTCCATGTTATTGCTCTTGTCATTGTCGTCTTAATGTGATACTTGTTTAATGTGATGCCTGCTGTGGCCGTGCAGGGCAGCCTGCACCTTCACAGCCATGAACAGCAGGGGATTTTTTTTAAGCATCTATCGCCATTTGGTTGGAAACAAATAACGTGTCATTGCTGTGATGGTTTCCTCTGCGCTTGTACTCTTATTGCAGCTTGGTGCAAGTTATTATACTGTGCCAATGCATGCTCTTTGTTCAGGACTGTATACAGGATTACAGGCAAAAAGGCTGTTTAACAATGTAAAGGTTTTGTGTTGGGCTTTGCTTTGTAAGTGGCGTGGCCTCTGATTATTTTCCCTTCAATGCAGATTTAAATACACAGATTTAAACTCCCCAGCTTGGTTAAAAAAAAAAAAAAGGTAGAATGTAAGAAATACATGAGCTTTGGTTGACAAAATGGCAGATGGACTGCTGTGGTTTGCAGCGCATGCAAGATTATTTTTCACAGCTCTAAAGGAAGCAGAGCACTGGAGTCTCAACTTTACCGTAGCATCTCCTCAACGCTTATCAAACATACATGACTGAGCCACGAAGATGATGAACCATAATGGAATATAGATGGGACATAAGGCATGCATATAAAGTGAATATTGCAAAAGTACAGAGCTGGAGTGGCTGTGACTCTGAAATCTGTTCACCCAAATGTATTGAACAGGGGACAGACAGGCCTCATGGTGTGTCACGCTCTCAGTTGGTGTGAAAGAGTCTCTATCTCTCTCAGTGGGGTGGGAGAACACAAAGTCTCACAGAAGTGTGTGTTCGCACATACACAGTTGTCTCCTTGTCCTTATGCACCCTCTGTTCCCAAATGCTTCCACAAAGAACAATGTACTGAACTGAAATGGATGCTTAGACACTGTCCTAATATTAAGTAGGGTTGTAGGAAAATATAAATAAAAATATTCTATCACAATATTTTGTTAGGTGAAATTGTATCTTACTTACAGTAAGGCAATATGAATTGTAACCCCTGTATTGTGATACGTATCGCCAGATTCTAGCCAACACACAGCCCTAATAAGTACAAAAATATAGAGCATATTCTGCAGACATTGTGAATCACAGGCCCTGCTTTCAAGTTCTTTGTGTATTCTCCTTTTTTAAAACAATGGAACGTGTTCACACAGAATTGTCGTCATTTATCTTTGAAGTTTCGTACAGCAACCATTTCCCATGCACAGTCGTTTTTTCCATCATAGCTCCAGTTAAGAATAACCATTGTTGTTCCTTTTTATAGAGCCACTTTTTCAGAAGATCATTTTAACTGTCACAACCACTCTGTGCTACCACTACAGTAAGCACTGAGCCACTTGTCTGTTAGTCATTATTTTTGTAAATGGAAGTGCACAGTGAGTGGCTACTATCTGTGTGTAGTGCCACCCTGCCAACACAGGTTGGGCGCGTGGCACCGGCAGATGGGCTGCGAGACTGGAGGCGTCTGGGGAGATTACTCACCATCTCAGTCAAGTTTTCATTACCGAGCGCTCTGTCATCCCTTCCTCTGGCCGGGGCTCAGTGCTACTAATTCGTGCTTGAAATGCGGCGTTGCCATTTATGTGAGCTTCTATTTTAGCAGTTAGTTAATTCGGGTAATTTTCAGCTGCTCGTCACGGTGAAGATGAGTAAGCTGAAAGTTGGATTGAAGCTGCCTGGAAATGCTTTTCTGTGCCTGTGTCTGAAGTATTAATATGTGCTCTGTGTGTGTGTGTGTGTTATCCAGGATGAGGAGGAGCTGGTCCTGCCTCTGCGGCCCAAAAAGTCTCCCCTCAATGGGCTGTGCTGCCTGACATTTGGCCTGGTTGTATTCATGGCCGGTCTGGTCCTGGCCTCCATTTATGTCTACCGCTACTACTTCATACCTCATGTAAGACCCGATTATACTGTACTGTGTGCAGTATGTGTCTCAGATTGGTCTTTTCCTCAAATACTGTATCCATAAATAAAATTGTCTTCAGTTTTTTTTTTTATTCAAATCACTATTGTATAAGAATGATATTCCTGCTACAGATTGTGAGTGTTTCAGCTGGTGTGTTGATATAGATGCTGATTTGTGTGTGTGTGTGTGTGTGCGCAGATCCCAGAGGACAACATGTTCCACTGCAGGGTGGTTTATGAAGACTCTGTGTATGCCCCACTGCGTGGGCGTCAGGAGCTGGAGGAAAATGTCGGCATCTACTTGGCCGACAACTATGAGAAGATCACGGTCCCCGTGCCTCACTTTGGAGGCAGTGACCCCGCTGATATAATCCATGATTTCCACAGAGTGAGGACAAACACACACACAGTGACATAGAGAACACACAGAGCAGTACACAGTTAAATCTTTATTACAAGTAACTCATTACAGTTTTTATTGGCCCGTAAATAACAGGAAAAGAGAATTAATATGAAAAGTCTGAGGATCTCTCAAGTCACTATTTAATTCATGACACTGGCTTCACAAAGTTTTTTTTTGTTTTTTTTTTTTTTTTTTTTAAAAAAAATGAGATTGAAA